CGGGGCGCCCCACTGGTCAGCTCCGAGGGCAGCCATCTCCAGGCGGGACTTCCCCTGCTGAGCCTCCGGGAGGCGGGGAGCAGCCCCCTGGGCAGTGCCTGCGCGCATCTCCGGTGCCAGGCGGGCAGTTCCAGGGACTGGCAGTTCTGGGCCGCGGCCACTCTGGCCTTGGGGGACCGGGCTGCAGGAGGAAGGTCGTTTTGTTCCACTCTTAAAAACCCAAACAAATGGGCGGAGCGCTGGGGTGTGTGACTTAGGGCGGAGAGCTTTGGGTAAAAACCTCCATTGCTTCAGCCGGCTCCCTAGACTGGAGCAAAGGGGAAGTTGGCACCCGGAGGCGTTGCAGGCCCCACGAGCGAGTGAAGTGTGAAAATGTCACTTGGAACCGACCCCAGATCGTGTGTGTGTGTTTTGGAGGTTGGAGGGCTGGTCTTTAATGACTTGCAAAATATGTGAGCTGCTAGAAACTTTCTCTTGTCAGGAGGATGGCATCAACCTTGACCTCTTTTCACCGGTGAAGGGTGGAGATTCGGGTGTGTGGCTTTGTGACTTGTGACTTGTGGTTCCCAGGACCCTAGAGGAAGAAGCCCTGAGGGCCCAGCGGTTGGGGGCTTGGGCTGCTCTCCTCGTGGGCAGCAGTTCAGAACTCCCAACCCCTGCCAAGAGGGGATTTCTATTCCCATACCGAGTCCGGATCTCGGAAACTCACGAAGGGGGCAGGTCTCCCCTGGCCTGTGCGGGTGCTTCTTGTTGGACTGGACTGGATGGCAGCGAGTTTGGTTTTTGGTTTGATTTTTTTTTTAAAGGGAGAGACTAAGCGGCTTCCCCCAGAGGGTGGAGGTGGGCGCTGACAGTGCTCAGAGGCCCCCACACACCACCTCTTCCAGGATATTTAGAGCAGCCCTCAGCAGCTGGGACACTACTGCTTTGTTTCTGCCCCAGGGGAGGGTGGCATCTACTTCAGCAGGGCAGGGCTTCAGAAGAGCCCCGGGTGGGCATCTGGGGGGTGCTTCTTTAGGGATAGTGGGAGTAGAAACCCAGGGGCACAACAATTAAGTGCTGAGGTGCCAGCTGAAAGGTTGACGGCTCCTGGAGGGGGGGGGGAGGCCACTGTGGGGATGACACCCTAGAAAAACTGGAGGCAGTTGTGCTTTGCCACCAGGGTGGCTCCTTGGCCATAGCTGATAATATCAGAAGGGGGCGGGGTTACCGTATAAGGAATGGAATATAAGAAAGGAAGGAGGCCCACTTCCAGGGGGGCCGTGAGCACCGATCCTGTCTTTTCCTCTGCAACATTGGCCAAACCCAGGCAGGGAAGCCCTGTGGGCAGCGTACCTGGGAAGAGATTTGTGAGGCCAGGGCATGTAGCCGCTTGTTTTTCTAGAACTCTCTAGCTGGACTAACCAGACCTTCTGGTTTCTCAGTCTGGGTTGGGATGCCCACCACACAGCCCAGAGAGGTCCAACGTCACCTCACTGATGCCAGGAAGCTCAGTGGAGTCCAGGCCACCTCCGTGGGTTGGTGACACGGGCGGACTGAGGTGGTGAGTCCAGGTCTCTGGAACGGGAAGGCTTATTCATCACCCTCCCAAGTGACGGGAGAAGGACGCTGGCTGCCAGTTCTGTCCACGTCTGTCTGTCTCCTCAGGATCCACATTATCGGTCTAGGAGGCTTGGTTTCCTGCCCTGTTAGCATTGGCCAGGCTGCACGTGCTGTAATTTCACCCTGGCTGTCCCATCTTTGCTTGGTTAGTTTGTTAACAAATCTCTGCTGTGTAGCTCCCCAGTCTACCGACCATTTGGGCTTGTAGTGGGATACATTCCTGCAACAACGTGACAACTTCCTGGTAGTATTTTAAGGTCCAGGATGGGTGGGGTGTGGAGGGTTTGCTGTGAGATCCTAGCTCAAGCCCTGGCTTTTGTCACTGACAGGGTGGGGGACCAAGCTGCGGTCATCTCCCCGGCTCAGGCTCCTCCTTTGCAAAAACCTACCTTGCTCCCTCACTCTTGAACGGGGAGTAGCTGGTAGGCATGTATCACAGGAACACCCCCCATCGTCTCATCATAGCGAGATGTACAGTATCCAAGCAGTGTCGGGTGGAGACAGGCCCCGGTGGAGACAGGCTAACCAGGGAAAGGTTCTCAGGGGCTAAGGTTTGATAGAGGTCTGAGGAAGCTGTAGCCTGCCTCTGGGAAGTTGCCTGAGTAAACAGAGACCCAGCTGTGGGAGTGGGTAGTGTGGAGGAAGGTTGGCCTGCAGGGCCCTGGCAGGGTGGCTCACTCACTGAGCCGACACCCGGGTGCCCACTGCATGCCAGCTTCTCTGCTGAATGTCCAAGGCATACAGCCAAAGGAGGCCCAGTCTGGTTCGCTAGAAGCTCTGCTCCAAGGAGGACAAAGATGAGTCAACACAAGATGGCAGAGCCTTGTAGAAGGCGGCATGAACACACGCTGCTGGTGACTGCTGACCGCCTCCCGGGCGAGCCCCTGCACCGAGGATCAAGACACCCCCTCTCGAGACTGCCCCATCCCCAGATCACTTAAGGATCAGACCCCTGCGCCCACAGGGTTTTCAGTGACTTGATTTTGTTGGAAGTAAATTGCCAAGCCTGTCTTCTTCGTCTAAGTACAGTGGTTCTCAACCTGTGGGTCGCGACCCCTTTGGGGGGTCAAACAACCTTTTCACGGGAGTCGCCCGATTCATCACAGTAGCAAAATGACAATGATGAAGTAGCAACGAAAATAATGTTCTGTTTGGGGAGTCACCACCACGTGAGGAATTGTAGGAAAGGGTCGCAGCATGGCGAATCACCGGCCTACAAGAGCCTCTGAAACCTGTTCAGCACCCTCGTCACACTGACAGACAGGCAGTGACAGGACCTGCACCGGCTTTCCCACCGGACCAGCAGTATTCCTGGGAAGTAGCCACAGGGTGCTAAGCAGGCAAGGGAGTCAGATTGCAGGGTGGGGGTAGAGAGTGCTGAGCAAGGGCTGTTTGGGTTGAGCCAGTAGAGGTGCCCCGTTGTTCCTTGCTGCAGGCAGCTGCGCCCCCCTCTCTCCAACCCCCAGACGGGCTGGGGAACGCCCTCATTCTCACCCGCGCCTGTCTGCTTTCTTTCCCTAGACTCTCCTCCCTCCTCGTTATGTCTCGAAGAAGCCAGCGCCTGTCTCGCTACTCACAGGGGGATGATGACGGGGGCAGCAGCAGCAGCGGTGGGAGCTCCGTCATGGGGAGCCAGAGCAGCCTGTTTAAGGACAGTCCTCTCAGGTAGGGGACCCAAGAGAGCTCTGCAGACTCAGCCCGCAGCCTCCCACAGCCGGATGCACATTTCCTGCTGCAGCCTATGGTGGGCAGGCAGAAGGCCCTGGCCATAGCTGGTTCAGGGACCCTTCCTGTGTTCACACCTAGCTGGCTTTCAGGACCCAGTTTCTCTCCCCGCCCCCGCTCCCGGAAACGTTCACGAGGGCTGCCCTCCTGTGCAGAGAACAGGAAGTGGGGAAAGGCAGGCCGGAAACCCTGAGAGGCACCTCTAGGTTCCCAGATCCTCAATTGCTATGGACAGCCGTGCCTCTCTGACCCTGCTGGGCCTGCAGAGCTCACTGGCTGGGTCCTTCACAGCTGAGGAGAGCAAGTCTGCCCACCCACTGGGATAGGGAGGTCTAGGGTGAGCACCTCCTGGGCCTGCCGCCCCCCCCCACCACCGCAACCTGGGCAGATGTGGGGCCCAGATAAGAGCCTGTGGACATACCTGCCCGATTAGATTAGGAAGCATGGTGGGAATGCCTGAGAGTTGAAGGAAGAGAAGGGAGACCGGACCAGACCAGACCTGCCCTCAGGAGACACTCAGAACTCAGCAGCGCCCCCTACCCACCCACCCTTGCTAGTTGCTGGTTGCCTGGCAACCAGACTCCTGCACGAAGTTGGCTGGTGACACCAAGTATAAGAACTCACGGTACCACTACGCCCTTACCCATCCCCCCAGGGCTCAGCTCGCCCCGCCCTGCCAGACCACACCCCACCATGGCTGGAGTGAGACAGGGTGATGGTGAATTTCCTGCCCTGGTTGTCAGGTGGCCCCTCCCCCAGTGGCAGTACCCCATGGAGCCTGGGCTCGTTTATTATCGCCCCTCCCCCTGCTGATCCCGCAGCCCGCAGGGGGCTCCCCTGCTGCCCCTCCCCTCCCTCACGGTGGGCCTCCCCCAGGACCTTGAAGAGGAAGTCCAACGTGAAGCGCCTCTCCCCAGCGCCGCAGCTGGGCCCCGCCTCGGACACGCACACCTCCTACTACAGCGAGTCGGTGGTCCGGGAGTCGTACATCGGCAGCCCGCGGGCCGCCGCGCTGGCCAGGAGCGCCCTGCTGGGCCGCAGCTCACTGCTGGACTCGAGCTCCGCCCTGGACGGCCAGCTGCACAGCGACACCTGCTGGAGTGAGTGCCTGCCGACGCTGCCCTGCGCGGCGCTGCCTGCCTTGGCCGGAGCGGGCTGGGCCGCCATCCGCAGGACATGGGTTCGAAGTCACCAGGCACTCCGAGGGAGGAAACGAGGCTCCAACTCCCATAAAGTGTTACAGGCTCGGAAACCCACAGTGGCAGTTCCACCTTGTCCGACAGGGTTGCTATGGGTCAGAATTGACTCCATGGTGGTGAGTTTGTTTGGGGGGGTATTTTTTTCCTGGCTCCCTTTGAAGGAAGAGCTTTCTCGGAAACCCACAGGCAGGTCTACCCTCTCCTACCAGGGTTGCTGAGTCCCCATCAAGTCCATGCAGACGGTTTGGTGTCGGTTTTGCTGTCTCAGGCCACAGGTGGTGTGAACCGTTGGCTCAGGACTACTAACTGGTGGATGGTTCAAAACCAGCCAACAGCACTGGCAGAACCAAGGCCTGGCCTTCTGCTTTCCAAAATATCTCAGCCACCCATGGGCTGCCAGGAATTGGAGGCAGGCAACTTGCCGGCAGCAGGCTTGGTGGTCTGGGTGGGCTTCTTCTATTTCCTGATGGGCCACAGTGTTCCACAGAGGGGCTCCCCGACCATCACTGGGCCTGAGGGACAGAGTGCTGGCCCCAGGTCCCTTTCAGTGACAAAGCAGCCACAGGGCCCGGTCCCAGCTCATCTCCTTGGCTCTGAGAGACCACACAGATCCGTAGCACCACCCCCAGGGTCAGGGAGGTCCTGGGATTCCCCCCTCCAAGCAGCTCTTTGCCCCTCCCTCAGGTGAGGACCTTCGGGTGCGGAGAAGGAGGGGCACCGGTGGCACCGAGAGCAGCAAGGTCAACGGGCTCGCGGAGGGCAAGGGCTCCGAGGACTTCCTAGCTTCCTCGTCTGGCTACTCCTCAGAGGACGACTTTATAGGTACCAGGATCCCCTCCCCTTCCCTCCCTTCTCCTCCCTAGTAAGGTGTTGGGGAACCTGGGGAAGGAACTGGGACAGCTGACGGGGATGCTGGGTCAGATGAGCACCTCGCAGACTGGCCGAGGCTCCCTCCTGTGCCTACCAAGGTCTCCTGATCCCAAGCAGTGCCATGACTGGTCACTTTTCTGCGCCCCCGCCCACCCACCACCCACCTCCCCCACTACACACACACACACACCACATTCACCTACACACATGCATCTGTACATATTTATATATGCATATGTACACATGCACACACAGAAACATACACGCCCACCTGTGGCAGCCACAGGTGACACCACTGTGGGGTAGCTCAGTTTCGTCCTAGCCTTTCCCATACAGCAAGAGGCCTGGCGATGACCGCTTGTTAATGTCCACTGTTTCCCGGGGGTGTGGGTGTGAGGCACACTGTAACGATCCGGGGGGCGTTGCAAAAGCAGACACCTACACTTGACCCTGGATGATGGCTAGAGCACAGGTTTTCATTGCCAGGGTTGGCAGTTGGGTGGGTGGGTGGGGTTGAGCCTTTTTTTTTTTTTTTGAGAAGGGGCTGGTGGGCACAGCCTCAGGCCACAGCTCTCCTAAAGTCAGGGCTTCCCTGGGCCTTCCTGCAGGCTACTCCGCAGGGCTAGACCAGCGGGCTTCAGGCTCGGGACTGAGGAGGGCTGCCTCTCGGGCGGGCTCTTTTCTCTGGACGGTGGCCACTTCTCCAGGTGAGTGCTCCATCTCGCCACTGTGGGCACCCAGGCCTCCTGCGAGGAGGACAGTGACCAAGTTCCACTCAAGGGGCTCACCCAGGAGGAGAGGCGCCACTGCACAGCAGGATGGGTAGAGGTGGTGGGACTGGGTGCCATGGGGCCGGTTGGCAGATGGCCCTGGCGGGTGAGTGGCAGAGTGGAGGCAGGGAGGCCTGGGTGCAGGGCGGACAGACGCTGAGGCTGAGTTGGGGGAAGGAAGACGGGGAGGACCGGTGGGCCCAGGGCTGGCGCAGGGAGGAGTCTGAAGCGGTGCTGTCCCTTTGCAGGCAGGCTCCTTGGGCTTCTCTACTGGTGGGTGGGTACCACCTGGTACCGCCTGACCACAGCCGCCTCCCTCCTCGATGTCTTCGTGCTGACCAGGTCAGTGGGACGCCCGACCTGACAAGGAACTGGAAAGCCGGGCTGGAGGAGCCGGCTAATGTGCCTGCAGCCGGGCCCCCATCCCAGCCGGCTCACAGCAGTCATTAGGGGGCACGTGGACTGAGCCCAGAGTTGGGGTCACTTCTGCTTCTCGGAGGGCCCTGCAGCTAGGACTTCTGGCACAGGGAGAGTTTCCTCTCAGGCACTTGCCCCTGAGCCCCTCGCCAGCCTGGCCACTTTCTGGCTCTCAGGCCAACTTGCTGGTCTTGCCCCTTGCTGGTTAGGCCTCAGGCCCCAGGGGAGAAGTGGAGTTTCCTGGACCAGGCTGGGCCCCCCCGCAATCAGAAAGCCTCGCCCCTCAGGGCAGCAGGGTGTGGGAGGCTGGGCAAGGAGGACTGAGCCAGGAAATCAGTCCCTTAGCAGGCACCTGGATCAAGGTGGGCACCAGCTGGGCCCCGAAGAGGAGCAAACATGCAATTGTGTCACCCAAAATGAGCTTTTTTTTTTTTTTTTTAAAGAAAGTGTTAAGTTTGTTGAAGGAGTTACTCATGTTTACAATGTATTTGTCTGTCAACCCAACCAAACAGTACCCAGCCAGTCTCGCTCCGGGGGTTTGCAGGGGCTGGTTTTCCTGGGGTAGCCAGGCCTTGCTCCCGAATCTCCCCAATCCAACTGGGCGGCCCCCAGCCACCAGCTGTTCGGTCAGCAGCAGCCTCTTGGCCCTTTGCAGCACTCCGGGCTTCCATGTTTTCCTCCTTCAGGAATGGCTCTAAGGCCAGGTTTGTCAAGGATCACGCAATATCTCCGAGAACATCACGACATTCAGAGCTCAGTGGTCCCCGCAACTACAAGTCCTACAGCTTGGGAGTGCCCCGAGGGAGGGCCGGGGGCACCAGGCGCTTGGCTCTCTCATCAGCAGGGAGCCCTGGGAACAGACATGGTGGCTGGTTCTGGAACATTCCCCTCACCCCGCCCTCCCCTGTGTCCAGGCGTGTCTCGTCCCCCAGAACCTTCTTCTGGTTCCTGTTGCTGCTGCTGCTGCTCAGCTGCCTGACTTACGGTGAGCCTGGCCTACCCAGGGGCAGGGGCGGGCAAGGGCTGGCACTGGGCAGGAGGGGGACGACAGCAGGAACGTGCTGGCGAAAGCAGTCGCTGAACAAACGGGGCAGATGCGCCCGCAGAGCACTGGCCCTCCCTGACTGCAGCCGAGGGGTCGTACGGGCCCAGGGAGGCCCCCCCCACCTGCTCTGTCCTCCATGTGAGGGGCCACAGGGCAGGCCCACATCCTAGTGCAGAGGGCTCCGGGACAAAGCAGGCACTCTGGCAGCCTTCCAAATGGCAGTAGGCTTTGCTCTCCACCCCAGAGCCTGGTGAGTGCTGTGGGGTCTGACTCCCAGCGACTCTGCAGGACAGGTGGCCCTGCCCCACAGGGTGACCCCCAGGGTCTACGTCTTTACCAAAGCAGACTGCCCCATCTTTCCCCCCGGGAGCAGCAGTGGGTTGACCTTTCTGTTAGCGGCTGAGCACTTAACCTCAGCACCACCAGGATTTCTCAAAAGAGAAATCAATAAGCCTACCCCCACCCTGCCCCCAGCATGGACCCTGAAGGGACCCTGGAAGCCGAGTGGTCATGTGCTGGACTGCTAACCCGCAGCGGCTCCCTCCGAGGGAGCGAATCGGGCTCTCTACTCCCGTAGAGAGTTGCCATCGCAGAACCCCGCAGGGGCAGTGCTGCCCTGTCCTGCAGGGACCCTGGGGGGTCAGCAGGGAGCTCGGTGTTTGGCTATAGTGACAAGCCTCCCTTCGCCGTCCCAGCGGGTCTCATTGGGCTTTCCGAGGGCGCACGCTGTCACACCTGTGACGCTAGCAGACTGATGGTGTGTTTGACCTTCACATGCCAGTTTCACAGGGAGTTTCCTCCCCATGGACACGGTCACTGTCACGACAACACCCGTGTCTCCTGAGAGGTCATACTTTGATTTCTAGGGAGCCACCAGACTTAGCACTTAGTCAGCCCTTTCTTTCTTGAATTGCAAAGTGGAAACATCCCCTGCTGGACGCCCCTCCCCATGGATTTCCGTCTTCCCTTTGCCGGTCTGCTGTTACAAGAGCAGCTCGTCCTGCGGGGGAGGGGGGGGGGACGGACTGGGCGTGGCCTTCAAATGACAGTGGCATGTTCACTTGCCCTCCTCAGCTGAGCGGGAGAGGGAAGCCAGGGTCGCCTGGGCAGCACATGGCTGTCTACTGACCCCCGCCCTCCCCAGAGTGACCTCACAGCTGAGTGGGCCCCCAGGGACTCGGATGGGCTACGAGGGCTGACCGTGGAAGCAAGTGGGGCCCTGAGAGATGAGTGTCATTGTCCCCTCATGTGGACGGACCTGTGGACAGTCGGGGTGGTGTGACGAGCAACTGGTGCTGCCTCGGCACCTGCCTCTGACGGAGGGCCAGACTCCCCACACGTCTTGTCTCTAGTTCAATAGGAAAAGGCTCTGTGTCCTCGTCCCCTGGAGCCGTCATGGCATGGGGGCAGGGGGAGGGCAGGAAGGCGCTGCATCTGAGCTGCCAGACCGTGCGCCATCGGGCACTACACAGTCCATGGCTCCACTCGTCCATCTGTCTCTCCCCTCCTGCCCCTGAACTCACACCCCCAAACCCACAGCCATCGTCAAGGCCCTGCTCATTCAGCAACCCTGCAGGCCAGGGAGAACTAACTGCCCAGAGGGTTTCTGAGGACAGGGCGGAGTTGCCCGGAGGGTCTCCGGAGCTGTGCTTCTTCCCATAAATGGGTGGCTTCATCTTCATTCTGAGTGACCGAGCACCACCTACTGTACCACCAGGACTGCGTGCATCACGCACCAAACCCGAGGGGCCCACTGCCAGTGCGTGAGCGCATCTTACTATCATGGGGTTGACTCCAGCTCACGGCCCCCCTCTTGGGTGGGGTGAACTGCCCCTGTGGGGTTCCGAGAGGAGAACTCTTCACAGCAGTAGAACACCTCGTCTTTCTCCCTCGGAGTGCCTGGTGGTTTTGAACCGCCGGCCTTGTGGTGAGCAGCCCTAGCGCTTCACCCACTGCGGCACCACCAGGGATGCACCACCCCCTCTCTCGTATATACACATTCACATGCACGGCTGCACATCACATACACACACCTCTCTGTGGTCTAGTTCTGAGAGTCTCCCCGAAGCCTCTCAGAAGGGTCAACCTGGACCCTTATAATGCGTGGTACTGAGCCCCTGCCCCCAGCCCAGTTCTCGAGCTTCCTGAGGGAGGCCAGGTTTTAAAAGCTCCCCAGGTGCCTACTTGTCACCTAGGCTGAGGACGTGTGTCCTCACCCCAATATCACACCCAAGTTCTTTCTTTTTTTTTCATTTTATTTATTTTTATTAAAAAAATTTTTCTTCACACCCAAGTTCTTAAGGCCCATCTTGTGCCCCAAGTTTTGCGCCTTCTTGGAAGTAAGTAACTTTCTCAGGAATGTGGGACCACCCCCCACCCCAAAAAAAACCTCCCAGCAGAAGCTGGGCCTTTCAGGAGACTGGAAGGCACACCCTCCCTCAGGCCTCCGCAGGTAAGCAGCCTCTCCCATGAACAGGTGCCTGGTACGTCTACCCCTTCGGGCTGCAGATGGTCCAGCCCGCCATGGTGTCTTGGTGGGCAGCCCGGGGCCACAGCAAGCCACAGGAAGTCTGGGAGTCCAGGGACTCGGCCCTGCATTTACAGGTGAGTGACTCGGGCAGGCGCCGAAAGTCACTGCCCCCTACCCCTGCTCTCCATGTGGTTGGGGTGACCCCCCCCACCACAGAGCTTCACAGCTTTTGAAGATGTCAAACTCGCTGCCCCTCTGGTTATAGCAATTTGACCTGGGCCTGCCTCCTGCTGAACGGAATGTGCTGAATCTCACCTTGTCAGCATTTACCTGTGTAGACACTGTTCCGTGGAGCTGAGCTTACACGTTCGTAAAGCCATTCTGTCCCCCGTCACCTGTTCTTTTAAGTCTGAATTGAAGGCCCGAGATCAGCTCCGTTGCCTGTGAAGAGCGGGGGCAAGCAGTGAATGTGTGTTTACAAGGAGACGCTCTCGGGACTCGGTGCCTGGTCTGGGAGGGGCAGGAAGAGGAGCAGGCCTTTTTGCTTTGTCTAGTCTGCAGAAGTATAGCCAGTGCAAAAAACTAGCAGAGCCCCACCCCCGCCCCACCCCTGACCGATGGACAGCCGACTGTGTGCTTGCTTCTCTTCTTGGCTGAGCGTCTGTGGTTCAGTCAACAAGGTTTTCAGAAGTCATGGCACTCCTGTTGTATGCCACCTCCCATCCAAATGACTTGTCTTCCAGCTTCTCAGGGGTCGGTGGGGGGTGGGGGCATCTAATTAAAAAGGAAAGAAAGTCCCTGTAAGGACTCTGTGGTTCAAGGGCCCAGCTAACAGCCATAAGGGTTTAACCCCCCATAGATCCATGGGAGAAAGCCGTGGCAGTCTGCTTTCTTAAACTTGACAGCCCTGGACACCCAATGGGGCAGCCTGGCTTTGTCCTGTAGGCTCACTGGGAGTCAGGAGTCACCGGGACAGCAGGGGTCAGGGGTGGGTCACAGGAGCAGTGATGGTTTGACAGCAAGCCACTCTGTCGTCCTCGGCGGTGGCCTCTGCTCTCTGCACCTGCAGGGTAGGGGAGGCGGGCTTTAGCATGCTGGTCCCTGCAGGTCCCAGCTCTTTGAGAACTGCCCTCCCTTGGTCCACTCTCACTTCCCCATCAGGCCCGGGGACCCTGCTTGGTACTGGGGACCCTCCCCAGGACTGCAGTCCCTGGGCCTCCCTCTTCAGGATGTCCACTTCTGCAAATCTCATCTGCCACTGTGTTGGTGGACATGTGTGAACATTCCTGATGTTCAGCATCTCCTCACTTTCTGGGTAGCCCATCGCTGGTCTGTCCCCAGCGCCCCTCACCTGCCTGGTGTTTCCCAATCCTCCCCTCCCCCAGACTGAGCAGCGCATCCTGTCCCGGGTGCACTCGCTGGAGCGGCGCCTGGAAGCTGTGGCCTCCGAGTTTTCGTCCACCTGGCAGAAAGAGGCCCTGAGGCTGGAGCGGCTGGAGCTGCGGCAGGGGTCAGCCAGCCAGGGTGGCAGCCAGGGCGGCAGCCTGAGCCACGAGGACACGCTGAGACTCCTGGAGGGCATCGTGAACCGCCGTGAGGCCGCACTGAAGGAGGACTTCCGCAGGGACATGGCCACCCACATCCAGGTGGGCCTGCGCAAGGGACTGCATGCCCGGTATGGGTGGCACTCTGGGGGCTCCTGTCAGCATGGGCGAGACCGTATTGCACCCCCGGTTGCTCAGTCAGCTCTGGCACAGCCTCTCTGAACCTTAGTCTCTTTGTTGTCTTTGAAACACCTAGCCCACCAGCGTGAGACCCTAAGTAAGGTGCCACGCAGGTGTGGGCATGGCCAGGTGGGAGGTCTGCAAGGTCCAGAGACATGCGCTGGCTCCAGGAAAGCTCTTGGGCTCTGAGCTGGGCAGCATGATCCTGGACAGTGCTAAGCCTCCGCTCCACGTTTCACAGGAAGAGCTGGCCGCCCTGAGAGCCGAGTCCCAACAGGACGTAGAAGACCTCTTCAAAAAGATCGTCCAGGCGTCCCAGGTCCGGCGGGTCTGGGGGCACCCACCCAGGCCCTACTGGGGTCCTGAGCCAGTTTCACCTGTGTCCGGGGATGGAACGGGCCACCCTGCCTCCTTGGTCTGTTTAGAAGCAGAGTGGAGAGCAGGGGTCGGTGGAGTGTTTGGTTTGGACTGAGCTCAACTCAGCTCAGCAGGAGCACTGCCAGGGCACTGCTGGGGAGGGTGCTGCCAGGCAGGGCTGCTGTCGAAGGGCCTGCTGGGAACACAGGAGTCAGGCTGAGTGCCTCTGGTAGTGGGAGTCGGGAGGTGGGCTGGGCACTCATGAAACCATTTGGAAATGGGCTACAGGAGTCTGGCGGGGATACCAGGTGGGAAAGGATGTGATAAACAAACCCCCCTCCAGCACAGGACAGATGTCTCCTTGGGGGACTGATTTCTCTGAAGTGGCCTTCTCTTGTGTTTGTCCCCGCTTCCTGCATCCAGGAATCTGAGGGCCGGCTCCAGCAACTCAAGTCAGAGTGGCAGAGGTACCGCTCCCTCCCCTGACCCCACCTGCAACCCTCCCCCTTCTCCCTGCCCCGGCAGGGCTGGGGATGTGCCCAGAGCAGAGAAGGGGACTGTTGAAACCTAGCTCAGGCCCCCCACCCCACCCCCTGCCCTGTCCAGGCTGCCTGCCCACCCCCACGAGCCCCGGGGAAGCCATAACTATCTAGGAGATTTGAGGGGAGGGAATCAGACTCAGGCTTTGCCCAGGGGGCTGGGGGAGCCAGTGTGCCCTTGACTAAACATGCCAACATCGGGCGCCAACCCAGGACCCCTGGGTTTCCTCAGGGTGGCCTCACCGTCTCAGTCACAAGGCCACAGTCAAGGCTTTCTCCTTGCTCTCTGGCACCAGGACGACCCAGGAATCCTTTCGGGAGAACGCCGAGAAGGAGCTGGGGAGGCTGGAGGGCCAGCTGGCAGGCCTGCGGCAGGAGCTGGCGGCCCTGGCCCAGAAGCAGGACTCCCTGGAGGACCGCGTGGTCCTGCTGCCCCAGCAGATCCAGGCCATGCGTGATGACGTGAGTTGGAACCACGCGTGCCACGCACACAGAGGTGCTGGGCCCCTGCCGGACTCTCCCCACCCCAGGAACCTACACAGCCCCAGTGACAGAGGCTCTTCCTGTTTTCCCACCAGGGTCTGGGGCGGGCAGGTGTGGCACCCGGTGGGAGTGTGTTGGCCCTCCCTGCAGGCCTCCCTCCCTGGCCCTCACCCAGCTGGGCCCTGGCCCTGCCAGTCAGCTCCTGCCCCAGGGAGGGCTCCCTGACTGAGGCTGCTCCTGCTCCCCAGGTGGAGTCCCAGTTCCCTGCGTGGGTGACTCAGTTCCTTGTCCGCGGTGGGGGCGCCCGCTCGGGGCTCCTGCAGCGAGAGGAGATAGACACGCGGCTGCAGCAGCTGGAGGATAGGATCCTGGCCCACGTGGCCGAGACGCAGGGCAAATCGGTGAAGGAGGCAGCAGCCAGCCTGGGATTGGCACTGCAGAAGGATGGCGTGATCGGAGTGACGGAGGAGGTGAGTGCATGTGGGCGCACATGCTTACACACACACACACACACACACACTGTGAAGCCCTGGAGACACACGCGCATGCACGTGCACATGCACACACACTACAGACCTGGAGACACACACACATGCACGTGCACACGCATACACAGACACTGCAACCCTGGAGATGCACACACGTGCACGTGCACACGCACCTTGTGCAGCCCCAGGCATGCTGCAGCTCCTTGGAATGTTCTAGTACACTGGTGACAGGCAGAGGCCCTGCTACCTGCTTTGGAGCTGGCATGGGTTGAAGGTGGGTGGGTAAGTGGGTGCAGGTGCACTGAGATAAGTGGAATGGGCACCCCGACAATCAGCCTCAGAGGCGCCTGTGTGGTATGAGCATGTGAGGGCACCTTGCTGGATGGAGGGGGTGGGGGTGGGACGGGGGTGGGGGGGCCTCGCTGAGCCTGTCCCCCTGTTGCCGAGCACAGCAGGTGCAGCGCATTGTCGCCCGGGCCCTGAAGCGATACAGTGAGGACCGCATTGGCATGGTGGACTACGCCCTGGAATCCGGAGGTGGGCCTCCTACCTCGCTGTGCCCGCTCATCCCCGGCATGAGCAGGGTGCAGATGTGCTGGGCAGGCGAGGCTAGAGGCCGGAGGGGATCGGCCAATCCAGACCTGACCACCAAGCCACAGCTGGCCTGGGAGGGGTTCTCAGAACAGCTCAGGGGGCTGGGAAGTGCTGGTGTCTGCAGGCTGTTCTGTGGGCAGCAGGGGTGCCGGAGAGGCACCAAGAGGGCACTGGCCTTTGGCGCCAGTCCCCCTTCGCCGAGGAACTGGGTTGGATGCCAGGGCTCCCTCCTCTGGGGCTGGTGTCCAGGCCCCAAGGCCCACTGGGCCTCTGTTCCCGTTTCAGGAGCCAGCGTCATCAGCACCCGCTGCTCTGAGACCTATGAGACCAAGACGGCCCTCCTCAGCCTCTTTGGCATCCCCCTGTGGTACCACTCCCAGTCGCCCCGGGTCATTCTCCAGGTAGGTCTCGCTGGGGGTGCCCAGCCCACCCACTTACGGCACCCTGATCCATGACTCCCTCCTGACCAGCCTCTCCCCCACTCCAGCCCGACGTGCACCCAGGCAACTGCTGGGCCTTCCAGGGCCCCCAGGGCTTTGCCGTGGTCCGCCTCTCCGCCCGAATCCGCCCCACGGCCGTCACCCTGGAGCACGTGCCCAAGTCCTTGTCACCCAACAGTACCATCTCCAGTGCCCCCAAGGACTTCGCCGTCTTTGTGAGTCCCAGAGGGGCTGTGGGAGGGGGGTGGGCTGATCCTGGAGGAGGAGTTGTAGTCGGAGGGCAGAGCCCCGAGCAGACACACGGAGCACCTCTGGTCCCGGCTCTGGGGCTCCTGGGGAGGCTGCGCAGGCAGGCAGGCAGGAGCCCGACGGAGTGACTGGCACTCGAGCCCCTCAGTGCCACAGAGGGAGGCCGGAGGGGGCAGGCGTGAGTTTGGGAAGGGGGTGGGGGAGGGTGGGGTCAAGAACACCTCATGGCAGGTGCACACAGGTGCCCCCCCCCAACATCCCCCAGCCCTGCCCTCCTCATGGCCGGCAGCACACGCCAGCCCGCCCCCAGTGACCCTTCACTGCCTCCCCAGGGCTTCGACGAGGACCTGCAGCAGGAGGGCACGCTGCTTGGGCAGTTCACCTATGACCAGGACGGGGAGCCCATCCAGACCTTCTTCTTTCAGGTGCGGAGGCCCAGGCCGTACCTCCCTGGCCGGCCAGGCACGGCGGGCAGAAAGAGGTAGAGCTGGATGGGGCTTCCCACAGCTCAAGGGGTGGGCGCCACTGAGGCAGGGTTCAGGGGACCTGGAAGGGAGGCCTGGCCATGCCCAGGGGGAGGCCCTTGTTAGACACGCGAGTTCCTGGGCGCCACTCCAGGAGACCCTGATTCCCAGGGCTTCGGGAACTGCATCTCACCAACGGTTCAACAGGGTCTGGGGCAGATGGCTGCCTGGAGGAAGCCCTGCTGGGAGGGCTTGGGTGGAGGGTGCGTGAGGTGGAGAAGCCACGGGCAGACTGGGGAGAGGCAGGTTAGGCCTAAGTTCAATCCTATAGGACAGGGGTGGGGGGCGGGGGGCCATGGACATTTTAGGTAGAGAATTGGCCACATGCTGGCACTTGGAAAGATCTCAGTGACCCTGGGGACTGAAAGGGCCCCGCCTGGAGACGGGCAGGCCAGTGCCATGGAGGAGGTCAGGGTGAGGGCCTGGGAAGGGGGTGTTAGGACCCTGCACCTCAGAGTCACAGCCTTGGGGCAGTTCTCGTCCATCCCCCAGGGTTGCTGTGAGCCAGAGTGGCCCTGGTGGCAGTGAGTTTGGGGTTCTGGTCTTCTCCAGTGTGCGGTCCTGTCGTGGGTCCAAAGGCAGTGGCTTTTGAAGCCCCTTCTCTGGAGGCCCAGGGAACCTCCACCTCCCGCCTCTCCATCCGTGGGCTCCCCTGAAGCCTGTCTCCTCCACCCAGGACCCCAAGATGGCCGCATTCCAGGTGGTGGAGCTGCGGATCCTGACCAACTGGGGCCACCCTGAGTACACCTGCATCTACCGCTTCCGGGTGCACGGGGAGCCCACCCACTAGCCTTCCTGCCTCCAGCCACCAGGAGGCCACCCATGGGCCCCTCTGCTGGCGTGGATGAGCAGTCCCGCCTCCGCCACTTCCCCACATGCTTGACAAGCACCCAACTCCCAAGAGCAAGACAGGCCTGGCCTGATGGACATGAGAGGACCCCCTGGGGCTGGCTGGTGGCCGCTCCCTCCCAGAAGGGTGTATATATATGTACCATATCACCGCAGGACAGCCGTGAGCAAGCCCGTCCCAAGAAGGCCGGGGCAGCCGTGGGGCCTGGTGGTGGGGCTGGCACCTGGAGCTTGGGCAAACCAAGGGCCGCAGCTGTGGGCGGGACACGCCGGGCAGTGGGTGGTTGGGGGTGAGGAGGACCACCCATGGGTTGGGGAGGTCGAGGCCCAGGCTGCCCGCAGTCCTAACCTTGTCAGCGCCCCCACCACCATCCCCCGCCCCCATTCCGAGGAGCAGGTGTGCACTGTGTCCATCCTGGGGCTGCTTGTGCCCTAGAGGGCGGCTGTTTTGAGTGGCTAGAGTACCCGGGGCCTGTCTGCAGGACTCCCTCTGCCCCCACAGCAGGGGTGGCAAGCCCTGGTGGCACCACGGTTGAGCGCTTGGCTGCAAGCCGAGAGCTCACTGGTTCAGCCCCAGCGGCCACTCCTCAGGAGAACTTATGCTTCTGTCCAGGTCAGAGCCTGGGAGACCCGTGGCCGGTGCTCCTCTGACCTTCGGGGTCACTGAGCTGGGCATCTGGGGCAGCCAGAGCGCAGGGAGCAGCAACCCCCCTCGGCTCCCGCGGGGTGGTGTTCAGGGCGTCATAGGGGCCCTGCTGCAGGACCCTTTCACTCAGGCCACCTGGGGGCTCCTTCAGCTCCTGCTTGAATTGTCTTTCTTTTCTCGCTGACCACGGGGGAAGTCGGGGCGGGGGCTGGGAGCACTGGCATTGACATTGAGGCAGGGAGTGGGGAGGTGACTTTTGAACCCAGCAGAATCTACTGTATTATGTACATATTTTTCCAGGTCTGTTTTTTAATGGAAAGAAAAGCTAAGGGCTGGATTCCTGGCCCTGTTCTGGGGGGCCCTGGGAACCTGGTTGCCGTGGGCTGGGGGCAGTGGCTCCAACCACATCATTGGTTCTGGTCTGTCGGAAAAGCGGCCAGGCCCAGGAACTCGGGGCCCCACAGGCTGAGCCCAGGGCCCAGCCCTGGCCCGAGATAACCAGGTTTGCTTTTCCACTCTCCTGTCACAAATGCTGCACTGTTGGTTCGGAATTCTCTATCTCCAGATTCTAATGTATGCCTATGCAAAAAAAATAAAGAATACATGATACCCAGGATGTAGAGTGTGTGGTGGCTGCTGAAGAAACTGCTCCTGGCCAAGTGGAGCAAGGGAGAGTGGAATGGGGGCCAAAGCCCTGCTACTGGGCAGCCGCAGTCCTGCCCCTCGGCTGAACCCGAGCCTGGCAGGGATGGGGCGGGCCTAGGGCTCAGAGTTGGCGGGAGAGGGAGAGGGGAATGAAGTGTGCTGTGAGCTGTGGCTGGCTGCCCGCTTTCTTCAGGATGACAAGTTCACTCTGAAAGGAACTAGATATTTGCCCACGGCCCTGGGATGGGCCAAGGATGTATCACACTGTGGGTCTCCCTAGAGCCAGGATCTGCCAACTGGGTGGTTATGGGTCTTAAGCCTTCCTTGCAAACATGTCCAGGAGTCCCCAGACCTGGACCCAAGGACCTGCTCATGGGTTCAGGCAGCTCCCCAATGGGTCTTGTGGCCTGACAGCAGCACCTGGCCCGGGGCGGATCCCTGTAACAGCTGAGAACACAGGAAGTCAGCCCTGTGGGCACACAGCCACAGGCGAGGGGGCTGGGCAGGGTGCAAGTCCTGCCAGCGCAGCCTCCCTGGTGTGCTCCCAGGCCGTCCCACACCTCAGCATGCAGACCCACTCTCTGGCCTGGCACAGGCAAAGCCTAGGTGTCCTCAGAGCCCAGCCCCACACCACCTTCCTCCTGGGAAGTCCCACCAAGCTCTCTCCCTGCCCCGCTCCCCCCACGGGGGCCACTGCGCACTCCTGGCCCCACCCTCCCTCTACTGTGCCCAGGGCAGCTGGGCCTGACTGGGACCTGCCCCATGACAAGAAGGGTCGCCCAAGTCTAGGCCATCTCTGTCCTGTCCACCTCCAGAGGGCCTTCCCCGACCCCCCACCCCAAGCATGCGCAAACACACACACACACAAACACGCTGAACAGTCTACAAAAGGGCCAGGGCCTGCCGGTAGGAGGATTGGATCAACAACTTTATTCTTCATCAACTACAAAAGGGCTGGTGTCTTGTTCCAAATGGAGGTTGGTTGGCTGGGGCCTTTGTGGTCCCGAGGAGGATGACGACAACGGTGAAACACTCCACCAAGCGGCCTGCCAGGGCACGGCTAGCGACTGCAGCCCACACCGGCCCTCGGAGCTTGAGGCCAGGATGGTGGCCGTGGCTTCTGGATACAGCATGGTTACTGCCGCCACCACCCTCCTGGGGCCCAGAGAGTTCCCACCAAAGGTTCTGTCTGCTCTGGGAGCAGAGGCCAGGGCCTGTGGGGGCAGGCGGTCCACAGCAGCGACCCCAGGGCCAGAGGGTGCCCGCAGAGGGGCGGGCCCCAGAGGGCTCAGCCAGGGGCAGCTGTCTCAGGAACCCAGCGGCAGGGATGGCAGGGCTTGAGAGAGAAAGACCAAGCTGCTGACAGGTGAACCGAGGGGGCAGGGCCATCGCAGGGGCCACGTCTCTGAGCTGCAGCTTCCTCCTCTAGAGAAGCCCAACTGCCAGCACCTCCCTCCAAGCAGCAGGCTCACGCACAGCCCCAGCCACGCAGCACTTTTCCTGGGCCTTAGCCCAGCATGTGGCCTCTGCCGGCATGGGTGGCAGAGGATGGGCATCATTTATAGACTCCCACCCCGGGTCAGAACACCCATGCCAGCCCTCACTAACCCCTGGCCTCCCCAGGGTTGCTTTGAGCTGGCAGTGAGGAGACAGGAGCTCAGAGACGGCTGGGGGAGAAGCTGTTCCCCATGCCCCCCACCAGACCTGCTCCGGGGGCTCAGTGGGCACTCGCTCACGGGAAGACAGAGCCATAGCGCTGCCCCTGGGCTGCACCTGCCTGGAGGGGCTGGGCAGGGACCAGGACACTGGTGACTTGGAACAACTTTTATTGTGTATGCTGGTCTGAGCCGCTCACAGCCACAGGGAACTAGGGTGGGGTATGGGGGGGGGGAGCAAAAAGGGTCCAGAAAAGGGGGGAAGATAGGTGGGGGTGTCTGCCCCGGCTGGCAAGGGGACAGCTCTCAGCCCATCAGTTCACCCTACATCGGCCTTCAGGCAGAATCACCAACCCTGGCCTCACCTCGGTAACCCCCTCAAGGGGTGATTCTTCCAGGGCCCCCGGGCCCTGTGCGTTTCTTCCACGCCCTCCATCCCTGCTCCGCCAGCCAGGGCTCCCAAACACCGCCCAGGCCCAAATCAGGGCACCCTCCACCAAACCCGACGCCGGCCTGGCCCTTTCAGGCTGGGGGAAGGAGGGATGAGGCTGGTCCAGAGTCTGGACAACCTCCACCCCACCACTCCAGGGGCTATAAAACATGACCCCGAGCAGGCCCAGGGCCCAGCACAGTTCAGAGCCAGCTTCCAAGAAGGAGGTGGCTCCGGGCTGGTGGGGCTTGGCAGGGCCCGCAGCCCTGGCAACCAAGATTGTCTCTGAGAGAAACCCACCCTTGGTCTTTGGGTCGGAGTTGGGGGTGGGGAGGATCCCCTCCGGCTCCCCTCCCCTCCTGCTAACACCTCCACAGGCTGACACTTAGCAGCTTTTGGCATGACCTGTTCTTGGGCTTTCAGGGACAGAGGTGACTGGTGGCAGAGGACGGGACAAGAAGCTCCTCGAGCTGACAGCAGCAGCCCTGCGAGTGCAGAGGTGCACAGGGCAGGGTGGTGGGGGCAGGGAGGGGGAGGCACCCCCTCCGCTCCCTGACCGCCCCTACAGACCCTGAGGGTCTTCACAGAGATGGACACACGGACGGAAGAGCAGAGCGGGGGCCATTCCTGGAGGTTGGTGGCCAGCCATGGAAGGAGGGAGGGAGGTGACAGGGCCCCGATTGGCCACATCGGCCACCTCACACGCGCACATACACGCTGCATGAGATCAAGATCTATAATAAGAAGAATAAAAACGAAGGACCCGGATGTACAAAAACGTGTGGATGGGCAGGAAGATGGGGAGGGGGTGACAGTCAGTCCTCAGGAAGTCTGGCCACGTGCCTCAGCTTATAAATTATAGCCCCCTGGAAAGTGGGGGTTGGGGGGACGGGACGGGATGGCTCTGCCGTGGCCAGGGTGAGGCTCTCTCGGTGCTGGAGGTGGGCTGGCCCAGTCAGCAGCCGCTGGCAGGCGTCACACAGGCTCCCTGGGACTTGACCTTGTGCCGCTGGCCACCCCGTCGCCGGCCCCCACTGCTGGGCTTGGGCTGGAGGGGAGAGAGAGGAGGTGGGAAGCAAGGGCCTCGGGGCTGGGCCAGGCAGCAACGGACTAGGCAGCAGGTTTGGGCTTGGCCTGGCCTGACGGGAGTCTCTCTGTCCCTGACAGGGAGGCGGGTCCTGGGTGGTAATGGTTAGGGGTACATCCAGAGCAGCCCCAGGAAAGCAGGACTCGCCACTGATGCTGCCCGTGGTCGGAAGGAGGGCATGAGACCACTGAGGGGAGAGCAGGAAGGCCAGATCCGGCAGAAGCTGCCCTCCCAAGGAGAGAGAGAAGGGCACGCTGGAAAGAGAACAGACAGACGGACGGACGGAGAGGGCACTGAGCTCCATGAACTCATACTCCAGGCAGCGTGCCCTGCGGCGGGGCACGGGGACCCCTGAGAGGGCCTCTGCACACCTTTGGGGCTGCAGCGTCCCTCCCATTTTGTTTCGTCGAAACTAAGTGCCAGTCAGAACCACATCAACCCACTCACCATGCAAAGGGCACGGCCATCAGGGCAAACAGCCCTGGCGGCAGCGTGAGCAGCTCAAAGTCACCTGTCGCTCTACAGGAGGATGAGGAGGCTGTGTGCTCTGGGAGGGTTACTGCCTCGGAAACCCGAGCGGCAGTGACCGGGCACAGCACTAGTGGTACTGGCCAGCCAGAGGGGGACTCGGCCAAGGCTGCCCTGCTAAGTCTGCTCAGCCAGTTCTGCCACAGCACACGCACTCGGCCTGGGCCAGGATGCACACCCACCTGTGACTGGAGACCGCTGGCTGCAGCTGGCTGCATGGCCCCTGGAGAGGCAGCCTCGTCCCCCGGTGGGGGGGCACCAACTGCTGGCCCGCCACAGGCACCTCCCTCTTCTCGTTTGCTCAGGGGGCCCTTTTTCGTCGGCTGCATTTTAATCTGCTGGGGCTTGGAGTTCATCGGGGAGTTGTTGGTGGTCTGCAGGAGCTTTAGGAGCAGGGGAGGGGGTGAGTGAGGGTAAGGCAGGTGCAGGGCAGAGCTTTCTGCTCAGCTGCCCACTCCCCAACCCAGCATTTCTGGAGCACCCTCACCCCTTACCCCCTCAGTACCACTCCCAGCAAGGCTCATCCTACGAGAAGCCATAGCCCCCCACTGCCCTCCCCACCCAGGGCACCACCACCCTGCCATGGGTCTGGGGCAGTTCTCTTATCCACTGACAGCGCTTGGAGCCTGGCTATCAAACCCACAGGGGCACCTGACCCAAACACGGTGGCCTCAGTCCCAAGGGCGGCAGGAGGCGGCCCAGCTGAGTCCGAGGGGCCACTGCTCTGCTCTCAGCCAGCCCCCGGAGATGACCCCCGTTAACCCCAAATGCACAGGATGAGGCCCAGGCTCACCACCCCGCTAGATGAGTCTTAGGAAGAACATACTGGAAGCAAAGCCTAAAGAGCCTGGGCCTCTTTTCCTTCTGAGCAGAGCAGCTGCCCTACAAGAGGCTGCGAGCGGGCTCTGGGGCTGAGCCTAGGCTCGGGGCACAGGACTCTTCCCTGGAGAGCCGGAGTTCTTAGGGAGAGGCCCCAGGAGGTGGGCAGCGGTACCTTGGTGATGGTGCCCACGGCCTTGGTGCGGCCTTCCCGGAAGACCAGCCGCTGGTCGATGTGCAGGTACTCAGGGGTCTTGATGAAGCGGAAGTGCACTGTGGCCTTGTCCCCAGTGCGCAGGCAGTCCTTGTCCATGCTCAGAATGGTGGCCGTCTGCCTGATGCTCCCGCAGTGCACTGGTGAGAGGCCAGGGGTCAGTGACCTGGGGCAGCTCCTTGGGGAGGCCCAGGCTGGCAAGGGAGCTAGAAGCCTGCTCTGCTCTGAGCCTGCCCACCCTGCCACCTGTTTGTCATCCCCATCGCCCACCCCGGCCCTGCCCAGACACTGCCTGCTCCCTCACCCTGGGAGCTCCCCCGCCTGGAAGGCCCTCCCCTCACTGCCAGTCGCCGAACACCCTGTCGCCGAACACCCCTTGGCACCCAGTGTGTCGAGGCTGCCCACAGAGGGCCCTCCACACCCAGCCCCGAGCAGCCGCTGTCGGTCAGGGTGAAGACAGGGTGCTCCCTGGCTGGGTGGGGTGGCTGGAGTCCACACTGGGGGCCCGGGTGGCTGGAGCACCTAGGGGTGACGCTGAGGGTCTCAGACACCTACCCATGGCCTGGTATCGAGGGCTGATCGTGGTGGGGTGGTGCAGAACGAGGATCTCCGCCTCAAACTCCCAGGAGGCTTGGGGGTTCAGGCGTGGGGAAACCATCACCATGCCCTTCCGGATGGACGAGCGCTTGATCTGCGAGGAGAGGGAGAGGGTGCGCCTTGCCCATTAGTGCCCTGCATCACCACGTCCCGGACCACCAGGGCCCCCTGGCTCAGGACCCACCCCACTTGGCCTGTCCCTGGGTCACAGGGAGAGCAGCGCAGGGCACAGGCTGGGCCGTAGGGGCAACGCAGACAGAGGCGATGTCGCCAGCTGTTCCTGGCAGACCCGGAGAGGTGGCTGCATGAGCCAAGGGCAGGCCTGGCACGAGTAGGGGAGGGGTGAAGGCCTGTTTATCGGGGTTCATTTGGTTGGAGGGGCATGTAAGTGACCCCACACTTAGGACTCACCCAGTCACTGGGGAGTGGGTGGGAGGGTGATCGGGAAGAGACACTGAAAGGCTCTAATAACCCCGTTGCGGGACCCCCTGTACAGCAGGGCCCCCATCTGTCCTCAGCCTGGTCCTTCCGTTGCAGGGGGGGAAAACAGAGCAGGCAGCAGGCTGTCCTGGGCTCCAGTCCTGCCGAGCACCCACGGTATGCAGCTCACTGGGTGCTCAGGGCCAGCTGCAGCCCGCTCACCTTCTTGAGCGCGAAGGAGGCCGTCTGGCCGCCCCGCACCTCCTTGACAGGCATGCGCTTGCGGTGGATGGACTTCACGGCGATGGACAGGAAGTTGCCCAGGGGGTCCGGGCCCAGCAGCAGGGTGTCGTTCAATTTGATCAGGCCCCTCAGGGTTGTCCCCGACACCACTGTCCCTACACCCTGCAGGGGAGCAGACCTCGGTCCTTTAAGTTCACCCCACACCAGGCCTGCCCCTCCACTCCACCCCCGCCCCACTGCTGACACCTCTGGGCCGCCATCCCCACACCCTGCTCCGCCTCCCGGGGATAGGTGTCCAGCCCCCTCCACCCCCCATCCCCCCACCGGCCTCTTTCAGAAGTGCTGCCAAGCCCTGCCCCCGCTCGACCTCACCGGGACTGAGTAGGTGTCGTCGATCTGGAACTCAGCGGGCTCCTCCTCCCGGTAGCTGGTGCGCGGGGACAGCAGGTTGAGGAACATCTTCAGCAGGTCCAGATTCTCACCGGTGACGTTGGAGATCTGGAATATCGGGCACATCCTAAGCGGAGGGCAAGGAGAAAGGGAGAGAGACAGACGCTCAGGCGGCTGGCTCCTACCCGGCACAGTGGGGGCAGCTGTGGCCATGGATGGTGCCACCCCCTTCCGCCCCTCACCCAGTTTTGTCCTGCCCTGCCCCTCTGCGGCCCGCCACACTGCCCCACCCTCCTCCAGGGATCACAGGGCCCTTCCTGCCTCTCGGTGGCAGAGCGGCCGGCCGGCCGTGTGAACCCTTCGGCACTTGGGCGCTAGAGCCATTTCTCTCACACCTGCTTGTCTCTTCCAGCCTGACCAGAGCACGCTCTAGTTCCAGATCCTTCTAGCTGAATTGCTTCCCCCTTATCCGTGACCCCATCCTTCTCACATGCCCCTGCCCCCAGGAAGCCCTTCCAGATGGATCTCCCAGTTCTCAGGGCTACACCCCGCCCGACAGTCATCTCACGGCCCGTAGCCACAAGCTGGGTGGTACAGCGTGAGGCCAGTGTGGCAGAACACAGGCGGCCACCCTCCAGGGTTTCCAAGGCCGGAATCTGTACAGAAGGCAATGGCCAAGTTTTCTCCTGGGAGCGGCCGAGGGATTTGAACCACACAAGTAGCCGCTGTGCGCTTGACCACTGGGCACCCGGGGCTCCAAGACACCCAAGATAGTGAACTGAAGTGGGGTTGGCTAGGAGCCCTGGTGGCGGGCGTCATGGCTACACAAACTTCAAAGTCAGGAGCTCGACACCACCAGCCGCTCCAAGGGGAAAGGAGGAGGCTTTGTATTCCGTGAGGAGTACCAGTCACAGAAACCCACGAGGACGGTTCTATGCTGTCCTACAGGTCACCGTGTGTCCTGATAGCCTCACTCCATCCCAGTGCTTGTTGGGGATGGCTGGTGAATGGCACCCCCCTCTGCTGGCCGGCTGGTGGAACTACAACACCAGCTAGCACCCCGGGCTGCTCAGGCAGCAGAGCGTGCCCAGCACTGCACAGCCTGGCCCTCACCTCTCGGAGCTGAAGTTGGAGGCCATGACAATCACGTCGTCCTTACTCTGCACCAGCACGGGGATCTTGCGGCACCCCGGCGACTTCAGCAGGCGCTGCAGCAACTTCAGTGTTTCTGAAAGGGTGAGATGGAGCAGAGATCAGGGGACAGACACCGCTCTTTTGCCAGGTGCCCAGAGTAAGATGGGGCCATTCCTCTATGGTGCAGGCAGGAGACAGACAGGCAGGCAGGTGAGTTAGTGTGATGTGGCAGGTGGGGAGCACAAGGGCCTGCGTCTGAAGGTCAGCAAGTTCACAGCGTTGACCTGTGGTCAACAGTGCAGCACGTAGATATCAGTGCCACCAGGGCTCCCCACGAGCTCCCTGGGTCCCTCAGGAGACTCACATGGTGTAAGGAAGTTGCGGGGTTCCCGAGAAGGGGAACTCTCTTCCTGGGGTGCTCTGCTTCCTCGGAAAAAGGCTCTCCACAGATCAACCTGCACGGGGGCCCCCGGAGTCTCCAGAGGGACCCTGCTCTGCTACAACCCCAGCCGGCAGAAGAAACTCATAAAGGCCGGCCCCTGCTACCCGGGGCTTTAGTGGTAGCAGGTCACTAGACCCTGTGCCCACATGCCCCACACGAGTCTCTCCACTTTAGTGGGTAGGACACAGCCCTCTATGCTGGGGGGCAGATACCAGCTCAGGCATGTCAATAGTGCCTGTCACCAGCAGGGCTGACTCCAGGCTGTGCTCAGAGCTCGAGCTGACCGCAAGAGGAAGCAGTTGGTGATGCTGTGCTGATGCGCTGGCCGCTGACCACCGAGGAGTCCCGGGGGTGACAGTCCAGGGAGAGGTGGCGGCTAGCCGGGGACACCCTTACCTTGCAGGATGTTGGCAGGACACATGTCGATCTTGGTGACCACCACAAAGACGGGCACATTGAGAGCCAAGGCCAGGCCCAGGTGCTCCTTGGTCATCCCCACGATGCCAGCATTACTGCCCACCTGTCCCGACACAGAAGGGAGCTGTCAGGGCCGGTGGAGCGAGGGGCTACTGCTGGGTGGGCACGGGGCTCAAGGACAGGGGGGTGAGAGTGCCAATCTCAGAGGCCTCCATCAGAGCAGGGCACAGGGACAC